ATTGTGCCATTTGGATGATCCCACTACAGTGTGATGTTAACAGTAGTTCAGATTTTCCTGTGTTATCCCATTTTGCTGGTATATCACCACTCCTACAGCTCTGGAAATGTTCATCAGTCATCTAATAAGCTGATCTTGGATTGTATACATTGTGTTGTGCTGTATACAGCTTCACTCTCTGACTATATTTGCAACTCTTTTGCATGTGTAATGCTTGTGTCGGTAGATTAAACAGATGCATTTGTGTCAAGACTGGAGTGTACTCTATTATTGAATTGTACTGAATGCAGCATGGGTGTTTTTCCGGGGTTGATGTAATCTTGGGAGCTCTTTGCGAAATCTGCACCTCCCTGCCTGTGTGAGGGGAAGCATCTCCCTGGTGGATCTGTGGGATTTCATGAACAGGCAGATGGAGAAAATATTGTTGACATTAAACTGTTCCTCTTTTAAAGAATTGTTGTGACAAGGTGGAGCTCCCATCACTCGAAATAGCAGCTGTGTACTGTTTACAAAGCGGCCCAAAGCAATGTTTGTTTCCATCGAGGCAGTGGCAACTTTTTCTCCTCCTTATTCTTGCTCTCTCTTTCTCTAATGAAGAATGGAAGCTGTTGGCATAACATGTTCGAACTCATTCGGCTTTTGTTTATTTTGGCTTTTTTCCCCCGTTTAGAAAGCCCTGAAATTGCAAAAGCTATTTTTCTCTCATAAAAAGACAACCCAAGTTCATACAAGATTATGCTAGTAAATATAGACTGGGGTTCAGTTAAGCAGGTTCAAACACAAACCTCTGGTTAACGGATGGAGCCCAGGGGAGGAGATGTAATGATTTGTCGATGTGAAGTCTCAGATGGCGAGTCAAATCAATGAGCTGGTCCAGGCTCATAATTACTGCTCTCTTCACCAGTGTAAAAAGAAATCAATAAAGTCAAGTATACACAGCGCAAGGCAACCAGGCAATGTTGTACACACAGCCAGCAGACTTCATAAACCATGCTTAGTAGTCAATTCACAACTACAAAGGCCCTCCTCTCACTAAAATGACATGTTATCATGTCCACTGCCTTACAAACCACTCAATAAGAGACTAAATAACAGTGTGAGGAAAACAAAAAATATATCAGTTAATGTGACCAAACCAGTTATTTTGTAAATGTTCACTTTGCAGTGTGACACTAGCGTTTCCTGAGAGTAACTCTAAATGTTATGTATCCACTGATACTGTAGACACATGGCCAGGTGTACTAAGCTTTCTGTGACTGTTTTCAGGTGGGATTTAAACACACACACACACACACACACACACATATATATATGTGTGTGTGTGTGTGTGTGTGTGTGTGTGTGTGTGTGTGTGTATATATACATATAAAAATATGTATGTGTGTGTGTGGTGTGTATCTTTGTATTTTAGGAAGGATTGTGCAAAAATTAGGAAGAGATAGAAACATTAAAAGTGTGGCTGATTACATATTCTGTTCACTTTACTTAAGTTTGGGAAATTATCAGTGACCAGCTTTGCACATAATTTTTTCCTGTCTAAAAAAGCTAGATGTAAATTAGCAGTAGGTGTGTTGCAGGGAGCAGTTGGCAGGTCCCCAATTTACCAGTGAAATTGGGCTACTTTTTAACTGCAGCTACAAGTTGAATTTTTTTCTTTGTCCATGTGTTTGGGTTTCTGGATTTTGCAGACAATGTAACTGTATCTTCATATGAAAATGAACATTTTTGGCCATATTGGTCTCCTCTCATATGTTTCCCTTTTGATTCTAGGTTTAAAATCTGTTATTAATGCATTTCTGTCAATGAATTCATTTACTAATTCTAATAAAAGAATAATTTATATGTTACTTTTAACACAATTTTGGGGAAACTGTGTGGTTTTTTTTTTTTTACTGCTTGCCCATTAGTCTGGGTTTTGGGCTGCCAAATTTGTCTACATATTTGGCAACTATGGTCATGGGTGGATAAAAAAAAAAAAGATCAATAATCTTGTCAATCAAATTGTTTAACAGCAATTAAACACCTAGAATAAAGAAAGCTTTTATATATTTACGCATATAGATGATTGCTGTCAGGATCTCCTGATTTTAGGCTTTTGGCTTATGAGATTAATAAATTGTTGCTGGTTTTCTCTGACTGAAATAAAGTTGCTGATATCAGTAAAACACATTTGTTCCTGTACTTTAGCAGCAGCAGCAATATTTTATGAAGTCTTTTTTTGCATATGGTGTGTTTCAGGCCTTTTACTTCATATACATGTAATTTCACCAGATTGCACTAGTGTCTTTTCACACAAGTTACCTCCATTTTAACAATGATGTACACAAACACTATTCACGTACGAGAACCTCCTTTTCCAGAAGTGAGAGAGCTAGGCCTGTGACGCACTTCACATGTAAAATGGAAGAAGCCCTCTATTCAAATCTGAAAAACAAGATGACTAATTTTTTTTCCTCACTTGACTTGGGACTAATGGGTATGAAGGGTATAAGATTCTGCAAATGCTATAAAAACCCCAATCTTTTTGTCTGTTATGGAGACATTGACATTTGATCGTGGCAAAAAAGTAAAACGTCTGATCACTGACACAAGCCTACTCTGCTGTGTCACTTGTTCTCTTTTTTGAGTTCAATCCTCAACCTTCATCTTTCCCTGACCCGAACCATGTGACGGATGCTCCAAGATCACTCGAAGGCCTCAGTCTTGATAAAAAAGCACTTTAGACATCAAGTGCATTGAAAGATTCTGTCAGGGAAATCTCTAAAAGAGCGAAGGACATTCCAGCCAGACTTCATAATGTCACGCTTTATTGTCTTCATAAAGTTGCGCCTCAATCTAAAGCACAGAGCGTATCCTTGGTGAGGTACGAGAAAAGAAGAGGCTTTCATCTGACAAATGGTCCCACTTTTCCCACTATCTTCTAGGACTCTTTTTCTACATAGGTCTGTTGATGACAAGCTGCCCACTCCTTTCCCTCTGTCATTCTCCCTGACATTTTCCCCTTAATTCATCACGTACAAATAGGTCTCTCTGGTCTGTTCATAGCCAGACATTTTGCTTTGGAGCACTAATTCACCTTTAAAGTGTCACATTCTGTGTTGGGTGTCCAAACAGCCAATGAGCCTTAGTGAAAATTAGCACTACAAACATGAAAGCTGTAGTAAGCCCTTCTAATGTACCAGGAAAAAAATAATTTCAAGAGTTCTGTGTCCTTCTCTGCTCTTACTTACCTTCCCTATTTATACATCTTATGATGCACATTCATTAGTAAGGTGAGAAGGGGAAAAAACATCAGACAGCTGCTGTATATTTTATTCATTTTTTTTTATTTAATGCTGATTTTAAGAATGTTTTGTGGAGTTGTCTCTCTGTCCTAATTAAAGAAGTTTGGAGGAGAGAGGTATAAACCAGGGAGGAGAAATTTTCCTTTTTGCATCAGTAGCTAGGCATTGGCTCAGCACTGGTTAATAGATATGTGCAATCAGGGCATTGGTATGTTGTTGAAATGATTATGCAAATACATGTTTGGTTTGTTGTGTATCAAATGTGTTTCCTGTTTTATACCATAGATAGTGGGTAGTAAAAGTCTGAGTTAGCTTCACACAGTGAGAAATAACAGTGCTCAGCTGAAGAGCTTGATGTCTCTAATATGTACACATCTTATTGGTCTTGATCTTTAATTAAAGTAAATACAGAATTGAGCACAAACCTAAACACAGCTGAAACAGATATCAGTACTATTACACTCACAATTGCAAATTTATGTATATAATAAAAGAGGCTGACGTCCTGTCCAAGGTGTGTTCCTGGGACAGACGCCGAACCCACCATGACCCTGATCTGGATAATGCGGTTATGGAAGTTGAATGAATTAATGAATATTATACCAAATCACTGACAAATTCAGAAAGTTTTTAAACAGAATTTTAAAAAATGTGTTATTAAACACAGACAAAATTATAAGCATTGACATGGTGAAGCTTTCTCTAAGGAGACATTTCTTTAACATAGCTCTCCAGTGTCTGTAGAGTACATTTTCCACCATGGGAAAGTCATTATGAATGAGGACTTTCTTGGTTTCTTGATTTTTTTAAAAATTAACCTCCAGATACAAAAAAGGGAGTATATAGTTTCTATAACACAAGCGAAAAGAGGAACGAACTTGTTTCTCAAATGTTCCACAACATTAAATGTAAATATAGACTGATAAAAAAATATTTTTTATGTAAAAAGTAATTTTGGCAAATTGCTCTGGTATAAGCAGAATACATCACTTATAATGAATGTCAGGATGGTAACAGTAACTTCACTTTGCATTGGGTCACATTACATCTTTGATTATATTCCTATAACAGCATGCCCTGCAGTGTTTTAGTTCCTTATATCGAATGGTATACACCGGCCTTGCATATATTTACAAAATCATGTGAGTAGAACGACAGTTAATAAACTAGTTAATAAATGAAAGTGCTATTGTAACTGTAGAAAGTGTAACAACCATAGTGATTTTGTAAAATAACTTTGCTGTTGGCCTTACTAATTCTTATGAATCATATTTGCTACTCAGACTGCATACTCTAATCCAAAAGCTTATGTTAAATTGTAATTATAGTCCTGCTTTTCAGCCTTCAGATTAAATTTTCATAAGTAGACTTGATTTGTCCCTTCAGTTCTCCATTAATATGACCTGTCTAGTTGCTCCCTTGTATTGCTTTCTTTTTATTTTATTTTGCTTAGTACTGAAGTAAACTTTTGAGTATATAGTAAGGAAAGGAGAGATTGTGAAAAAGCCTGCCACAATAAACCGACTAAAGGACCAAATTGAGGAATTGATTGTTTTTGTTGTTTCAGCTGCTCCCATTAGGAGTTGCCACAGCAGATGATTGGTCCACCTATTTTGATTTGGTACAGGTTTTGCAACAGACATCCTCCCTGACACAACCCTCCCATTTTATCTGTTGGGACCAGCATTGAGAGTAGCCTCCCAGTGGCTGGGTTGGTTCCCTGCCTGGGAATTGAACCCAGGCCGTAGTGGTGAGAGCACAGGACCATTAGGCGCTAGACCACCAGGGACCCGAATTGAGGAATGGATTAAGTTTCAAAATTTTTGCCGCCTTTTACAGTTATTGTATTCTTTGAATAATGTTGGTGTTTTGTACACTTGAGTTATTTTGGTTACGCCAAAATCTTTACATTATATCAAACATGGTTTACTTATGATTTGTTAATTTTCCTTACAGCAGCAAAAACAACACATGCATTTGTCTTTTGCTTAATAGATGTGCATTGGGATACAGGGAGGCTTTGTGATACGTGATACATAACATGTAATAATGTTATTAGTAGTAATAATTTGTGCTGTGGGATTGCTCTCCACTCATCTCAGTTGCATATTAATTCATTTTGCATATTCCTTTCCCCCAGGTGACCTATGAGCACAGTGCAGCCATTTTAATTACTGCCAAAACGCCTCTCTCCTGAAAGTGATGTGAGTGTGTGAGACCTGGTGACTGTGGGAAACACAGTTTTATTCAGACTGAGCACAGGTAGGACATGGCCTTAAAGGGCTTTACATAATGAATGTGTCATGACGAGTTAAGCTAATTGTTCTATTGTGTGTTAATCATGCATAGATGGCAGCAGTACTTCTAGAACAAGGATTTGCTATAACACACACACAGACCTCACCTCATTTTATAGTGAGCTTAATTAGCCAAGTGGCTTCTGTGTCTGATTACATTTAAATCACAGATATGTTCCAGAATGAGGGCAGCACAAAGACAGAGGTTAAATCAACACTTCATTAAACATACACTTGTAAGTGTTTGTAGTGATGTTGGACATGCCATGTATGTAATGACATGTTACATATTATAATAGTTTTATTTTCTGTAATTGCAGTATTGATTTTTGGTTGACTCTCTTCAGTAAATAGCATAAACATAATGTTTTTCATCACTGACTGGCTTTGAACACATTGCAGTAGTATATTTATTAGTAGTTTTCCATGCATCATTGTGGAGATCTATAGCATCATCATCAACACTTGTGGTCCCTGCTGGAACACAGGCCACCAAGAAGTGCTCTTCATGCATCCCGTTCCTGGGCCAGTTGCTCCAGATCTATAGCGGGGATCAGAAAACTGGGAGTAAAGGATTAAGAACTGAATAAACTAGGAAAACCAAGAATGAATACAAAAGAAAACATAAAGTACCATGGCTCAGATTAAGGGGGCAGATTAACAGTTTCTAGTGTTAACACGCACACTAAGAGTATGTTTTGAGACTTAGCTTGGAAATGCATGTGGCAAACAGGATGTAAAACAATATAACTAGAAAACCTTAGTGACCTTAGAACTTGAATTTTACTCTCCTCTCAGAGAGTGATTATATACATGACCCCATAAGCAAAAATTAGATACAGAAATTATTCATCCATCATGAAGTGTTCACTGAGGTCAGAAAGAGCTCTTAGTTATTTCAAAGAAAATATTTAACATGGCTGAAGTGGCCTAAAAGAGCACATCTCAAGTGGCCATCTTTGCCAAACTGTTCCTGGGGTCAGCTCGGACCAAAGGGGACATGTAGAAATACATCTCCCCCTGCTAATTTAGTAAGGAGTTTCAGCTAGAGGTGTATACTGGGATTCTATGAGACCCACCAAAAACATTGTGGGAGTATGCAGTTTTTACTTTTGTGAAGGCGAGAGTGGATGGTCAGATATGTAGCTTAAGGGATATTGTGCAGCACTCGTGAGTCATCTTGAGTAAATGCTTTTTCTTGTCAAGGCTACTATAGTTTAAATAACTACTTTGTGCATATTTTGGGGAATAGAACTAATGAAGAAAACATTGTAGGCCGGTACAAATCAAAATATGAACTGCAGCAGCTGCTGGGATTAGTCAAAATTTCTGAGAAAACAGGCTGGATTAAACAGTCCTGTGCACACCTCCAGCTTCAGGATCCACCCACTTACTTGGAACCCTGCTGTGCCTTGATTGACGTCTTGACAGATGTGTCACACGGTCTGTGCCATTACTATACGTATACTCGGCTAGTTGACAGTTCTTCAGTTGTAGTTCTCAGTCCCAGTCCTGGAAGCCAGTTGACGAGGTATAGAACACACTTGAATCCACTAAAGGGCTCCACTAAAGGCATATTTGAACCTGTACTCTAATGTGTAATATATATGATGAGAATCACTGGAATTGAGAACTACTAGGCAGGTTTCCATCAGGATTTGGAGAAGATGTTGGAAAATGCATAAATTGGTGGTAATGGAAATGGTAATTATTGGAGCTGTCTTAAAGAATATCAACAAACTGTTTACATTAATTGATTGATTTTACATTAATTAATTGATTATTTTCAGTGCAATTGTAATGTAGTTTCAAGTGACAAGATTTACATTGTTTTTCTCTCGTACAATAAACCATGGGTAAAGTGGACACTTTATATTTCATGACCGCATCAATAACTAAGCGGGCTCTGTCTTCCATCAAGAAGGCTGTCATTTCATGCTAGTTGTGCCTCTTGCCACATGCAACTTGCCTTGTAATTTGTGTTAATAACCTCAGTGATCTACCGCACTCCGTTCCTATATCTCCCATGCCTGGAGTGCTGACTATAGGATATCTTTACCCATGCTATTGCATTAGAAATACAACCCACATTCACCAAAGCATAATACATATTGAGAATGAATGTGTCAGCTTTTTTTCTGCACTATTGGCAGGATTGTTTTACATGCAAAACTTTATCACTAGTGGTACACCAGTACCCACAGAGCCACTGACCTAAACCATAGTGCTTCTCTCTCTGTCACTGCAGCCAATATGCATGTCATTTTCTCAGGTCGCAGCTTCAGTGCGCTTGTAAACTCACCTGAGAGCGTTTTAATGAAATTGATATCCAGTCAAGAGCCTGTACTAATCTCCTCTGAGCTCTGCTCTTCATTATGCTGTTTCATTGTTTCTAACAGCTGTTGAATTTGGCTCATGCCCACTGCCAATTCCTCTACTATGTACTCCAATGGAAGTGTTCATACGTCTCTTTCATAGCAGCCAAGTTGAGCCGTATACATGCTTCTGTTCAGAGAGCTTTCATAGGCTAACCAAGTGAGGTAAAGTTCACTGTCACAAGATGACGACTTTATTTGTACTCAGCAAGGAAACATGGACGCACAAGGACTTCACTAGTACCAAAGGAAACCATCCTGACAGTTCAGAACATAAGGAAACAGAACTTAGCTGTGGTCATTGAGGTTAGTCTTTGATATGGTGCAAGTCTGTTATTGGGAGGAAGAAGTGCATTACCTAAAACAATGTAGGTCTCTGTTGCATAATGCCTTTCAAAAGGGCGATGATAGCAACTTTGTCCTGTTAGTGAGCAGGCTATCATAATTCTCATTGGTCATTATTATCTTGACTTGGTAGCTATTGGTTTGTGAATTGCAAACAAAAGAAAAGCAGCAGGACATATCCTGCTTGTTAAGGCAAGACGAAGAACCTTCAGTTGTTAGAAAAGGAGCACATGTCCTAATACTGGGGAAAATATTAGCATTGGAATTGTTTACTGCAAAACTGTGGAATACCCAAGGAAAAGAAGAAAAAGAAACAAAATGCACAAGGAACAGATCAGGCAAAAATAAAATGGACAATTTTACAAATGTAGTTGATTGACCAAGAAATGTTTGCTGCTTCTTCAATCTAAGCATTACCTGAGCATCTGCCTTCCTAGATAATATTTTTTCACTGTCAACAATTATTAAAAAATAAGAAATTTATTTCTTATTGGGCTACTGTTATATCCAGAAACAAGTATAACACCTACTACTATTATGCATTTGCCTGCACAAATACAGAATGGTGGATTAGTTTTTATTTGGTCCAACAAAGATTTGTTGCCAAAGATCTATCAGTGCCCCATCCACCATCAACCTCTCTTACTTTCATTGTCTTGCTCTCTCTGTTTCTCCTGTTCTAGCTCTCTCTCTGTGTCCAGCTGAATGCCCATGGCATGCCCAAGCTTGCCTTCTCATTGACTTCCACCAAACACTGGAGGCCTGGGCCAAAATAATTTGTATCTGCTCAATAAATCATTAAAGACTGTCATGCCGTGTCCTGCGCCCTCTTTGCTCGCCCTTTTCCCTCCCTTTCCCTCAGCTCTCAAAGGTCTTGTTAATGTTTCAAAGCCGCACATAAGACGCAGCAGCCAGACGATTAATTTGAAAGATACCCACAGGGCACCTGCAGGATTTTTTCTTCCCTGACTTCTTTTGCCTCTGTAGTGTTAACACCTAGTGCTTTCAGAGCGAGGGAGCAGGCAGAGGGTGTAGGGGAGGAGGGGGAGCTGGGAGAGAACCGTACAAAGTGTACCCTCCAGTTATATAGCTGAGCTCTTTTACCCCAAAACAGCCTTTTGATGTGTGCAATATGTCAAAGCAAAATGGGTTAAATGCTTTTAATGCAACAGTTTTTTTTAATTGTATGAGGTAGCAAGAGTGGGTTAGAGTTACAAACTCACAGTGAATGACAAAATACTTTTGAGCTACGTGCTGGTAAATTGCTGAATCCAATGAGACCCTTACCAGGATGAAGCTGTTTAGAGTATCCAGAAGTATCCAGTTCCACATACTGTAATGTCTGGCCTAATGTCAGTGACCCATGAATTTTTATTTGAAAGTCCATAAACTTGTATTTACAGGAAGAAGTAGGACACTTGCTGAGAAAAGACATGGGCATTGAGACATGGGTCCTTGCTTTGATGTGCTTGCTGACTCGTGCAAAAGTGTCCTCGCAAGTCAATTTACGATGCACAAAAACTAACGAACTGCAAAAGAAGATGCTTTTTATGCAGTAAATGCCTTCTGGAAGCTGTCAATACCCTTAAAAAGTGTAATGATTTCTTATCAGTGCTTGAATGAACCGTAAAAGCACATTTTGAGAGTATTGACATTTACACAGTCATGAGCAGGAGAATTCCTGCCTCCATATTGCAGCTGACGGCTGCTTATTCCAAAATGGGAAAAAAATAAAGAAAGAAAAACATGGCCTGCATGCTGAGTGAATAAAA